GAAGTCAGATCACCACAAATGTATTTTCTGAACCCACCGCAAATCCATGCAGCCATTTCCAAAGGCTATGACATCAGTGAAGGCATGTGTGTCCCTCATGAAGCCAGCAGGTATGAATCGCAGCTGCCAGTTGTAGATGTACAGGCATTTTTTTTTTTTTTTTTTTTTTTTTTTTTTTTTTTTTGGTATTGTGACTGTTACATTAATCTGTTTCCTCTCGGGAGGAAGTTTTGATCTCTGTATTAGAGATGATGAAGAAACCGGGCTCAGAGAGGGCCACTCAAGTTACAGGGGTCACAGAGTTGTTTGCTGCAGGCTCAAATCCTCAAGTGCACTGGATCCTCGGGATGTTGTCAGTGACCCCTGAACTCTGACCAGGACGAGTCACGGAGTTCTCACAGTCGTAGCTACAAATGGATTTGGGCTTTTGCTGCAGTGTGTGCCTGAGTGGGTGGGGCCATTCCTTGGCTGCTGGTCCTGGATTCTATAAGAAAGCAGGCTGAGCAAGCCATGAGGAGCAAGCCAGTGAGCAGCTCCCTCCATGGCCGCTGCATCGGCTCCTGCCTCCTGCTCTCATTGCTTTTGATGATGAACTGTTTTGTGAAACTTGGAGTGAAATGAATCCTCCAGTTGACTTTTGACCAGGGTGACAACCATAGTGATCCTAGATAACCAGATAAACACTATGCTTGGCTAAGCTGTTGATTAGCATCTGTGAGGGTTAATATTGATTGTGGACAGGATCTAGAATCACCCACAAGACAAGCCTCTGGGCACACCTCGAGATTACATTGTCAGTCTCTGGGGGTTATATATATTAATTAGGTCATCCCTAGGCACATCTGTGAGGGGTTTATAGATTAGGTCATCCCTGGGCACACCTGTGGGATGTTATGTAGATTAGGTCAGCCCTGGGCACACCTGTGAGGGATTTCCCAGATAAGGTTAATTGAAGTGGGAAAATCCATTGCAATGATTACCTTTAATTTTAAACTTGACAAAGCTTAGAGTCTCGCTGAGGGATTATAGTTCCGTGCTCTGTGGGTCTACTAACATAACAACCAAGATATGTTATTGATTTTAACATCCCTGGGTAGCGTCCTAATTAGCCTTAACTGTCAGTTTGAGCAGTCTATGCTTAGAACCATCTGAGAATGGAGTCTCATTTGCAGGGTGGTCTAGGTAGGCCCGGATGGCTTATGGGCGTCTCTGTAGGGAACTGTCTTGAGTACTAATTGACCTGGGCCTGGCTCACTCACGGTGGGCCGCACCAGTTCCAGGTTCTGACTGGCTGAGCATGAGGTTGAAAATTACTTCAAATTACCGCTCAAGTTCCTGCCTTGGCGTCTCTCAATTGAAGGATGGTGATGTGGAAGCCTTAGCCAAATAGACAGCTCTTCCCTTAAGTTTCTTTTGGGTATGGCGCTCATCACAGCAACGGAGAGAAAACAGAAATGGCTACGTTGTTAACATCCCTGGCTAGGCTGGGTAGGCTGTTGTTTCATACCTAGGTTGGCTATCAATTCCATCCCTGGGTAGGTTATTGACTAGCATCATTCAGCAGGCTGTTGATTGATTTTCCCAAAATAGGTTAGCACTTGCCATCCCTGGGTAGGTTATCAACTAGGCATCGCTGAGTAGGCTGCTGATTAATTTCCCTGGGTAGGGCTAGCACTTGACATCTTGGGTAGGTTATTGACTATCAACTGGCCAAACCACTGATTAGCATTCCTGGCCTCTGCTCACCAAATGCCCTAGCATCCTCTACCTCCTGTAATAACCAAGAGTGCTTCCATCACTGCCAAAAGGCCGCCAAGGGACAACACTTCCCGCTATCACCCCACCATAATTCTTGCCATAAATGCTGCCATCACTGCCCCTCACTTTGTTGCTAAGAAGAAACAACACAGATCCTGCAGTTGGGAGGACATGGCGAGGACCCCACCCTCTTGGACCCCAGTGGGGATCAGTCTCCTATGACTGATGGCCACCTGTCTGGGGCTCCCTCCTGTTGCCTGGACACAGCTCAGCACAAAAATCAGCCTGATCAGCCTCTGTGTGGGAGACCCCCATCAACCCAGCAGCCCCTCCGCTCACTCGCGGGGACACACGGCTTCGCAGCACAACTGAACTGCGGTGAGAGCTTTATTTACTATTTCTTGGAGTCTGGGTGTGCCCCCGTTTGCACATGCAGAGTTCACCCCCATCTGGTGCAGTCAGCTGGATTCCTGACTGCTTGCCTGTGCCAGAAAACCTCTTACGTTGACAAAATATAAAAGCACAGGGGACACCCGGTCACTGTGAAGTCCGGGAAGCCCCGTGTTTGTTTTGACAGTAAAAATAGAGTTTTTATAGATGGATTCTCAGCCCCGCAGTTAGGTCCTTCCTGGGACTGGCTACAGTGTCCCGTCCGCCTTCATCCCGAAGTCCTGCAGCTTGTGGATTGGTAAGGCAGCTGTCAGAATGCCATAGACAGTACGTGCATCATCTTGGGAGTCCTTCCCGATCATGAGGCAAACATCCCAGGCGGGACCCAGAAGAGCAGTTAGGAAAATATACCCTATATTCACATACATAATCCCACTCTCCCTCCCCAACAAAAGCAGTTAGGAAAATACACCCTATATTCATTCACATACATAATTCTGTTATCCTGCCCCAACATACAAAGTGTGTGGAGGGCCATGGTCACTCTGGGACAGAGTAAGAGACAACTTGGTACAAAGGCCTTCCCTGTATCAATATATTACCTGTGCGAGCCCCATGTAAGATCTGTAAGGCGACACTGGATGGGAACATTAAAAAGCACGGATTGTCCCTTAGAGGATAGGAGAGATTCTAGCGGGCTCCATGCTGTCAGGGACTGTCACAGCATAGGAGATGTTTAACAATTTAAGGGGGGGGGGTGAAAGATGCAGGCTGGGAGTTGTCTTTTCCAGTGGGGGCTGAGACACACAGATGCTCTAGGTGTAATGGGGGTCACGGGTCAGGGAAGGGGCAAGTGAAACCTCCTGCCTGCTGCCTTCCCACGTGGCTTCAGGCTTCTGGCACGTGACCTTCCTGAAAGTCGATGGTGTCCTCTCTCCCCGAGGGGCTTGAGGCCAAGGCAAACTCAGAGGTATGGAGTGGGCCCTGCTAGTTTCCTGGGGCTCCCTCCGCCTCAAGAATGTCCCCAGCAATGTCAGGAACCTGGGTATTTGGGGATCTGCTCCCTTGACAGGTTGGGCAAAGGCACATTGGGAGGGTGCAACATCTCTGTTGCCCGAATGACTTGTCAGGGTCTGCGTGTTAATTAAGGTGGGTGGGTGTGGCTTTCACTTTTCAATCAAGCCTAGATCCAGGGGTTTCTGTGGGCGCCAGGATGAGCAATCTTAAAGCCAGGACTGACAGAGTGCTCTTACCCCCCTCCAGCCCCCTACCCACATCCCCGGACTGGCCAGCTTTTCCTCAGGGGAATCTCTGCTCAGTGTCTAAAGTTGAGACCTGGGCCTATTCCTAGAAGTGGACTCCACTGTAGGAGGAAAATGTACATCTAGGCAAAACCTGGCTTGCTCCCCTATGATGCAAACCCCTCTGGTCCTGACCCCCCATCCTACTCAACCTGAGGCCATCAGATAAAGTTTACACTTGGCTCCCAACTCCTCAGGGCCACATGGTTCTCTGCAGTAGCTCAGGACTCTCCACAATGCCAAACGGTTTCAGGACAAAGGCCTCTGTGTGTGAGGCCAGACTATGCTGGAGAAGGCCGATCTATGGGGAGGGGGTACCCAAATGTCACTATTTATGGGGGGCATTATCCAAATGTCACAATAATGACGGACAAAGAGTGGTCAGATGGAGCATATGTGGAGACAGCCAGAGTTACCAGAAGGGAGGGCTGGGGGACATGAAGTGTGTGAATTGCACACGCTTAAGGCCTATTAGGTTTTCTTTAAAAGGGGGATCCTGGAGAAACCCAAGAGGTAGGCACACAGGACACTACTTGGGCCCCCAGAGTCTTCACCTGGCTTAGAAAAGGGAACTAAATGAGTCACTCGCTCAGCTCAGCCAAGGGCCTGAGCATGGACCCCTCTACTCTAAAGGGGGGACTCTAAAAGGGGGACATGGCCAAGCTGCACCTTGACCCAGTGAGATTGTCTGAAGGGTCTTCCTGCAGAATCAAATTCATTTCTTGTCAATCAAGCACAAGGGGTTAGGTTGTGATAGGCAAGGCAAGCATACTTCGATTCTACTACTATGCCTTTCGACACTCCAGACAGAACACTTCCTGCCACCGTGAGCTTCTTCACGCCCAGCCCAGAATAAAGAAAAGGGTGGAGAGAAGTTAAAAACAGGAGCAGAAGGTTGCTTTCTGGGTTTGGTTTGTTATTGTTGGGTTTTTTTGGTTTGGTTTTTTTTTTTTTTTTCTTCCTCCTCTTTTTTCCTTCTGAGGGTAGATTTTACAGCCTAGCTTTGTTATGTAGCCAAGGATGGCCTTGAACTTCCAACCCTCTTCCTTTCACCAACCCCCTCCCCAGAGTGCTAGAATCATCAGTGTGCACCACCACGCTCGATTTATGTGGAACTGGGGACAGAGCCTGCACATTAGGAACACACTCCGCCCACTGAGCCACCCACCCCCTCAGTCCTGCTGGTGTGTTTGAAGGGAAGTCAAAAGTGTTGCAGTATACAATGGATCTAACTAAAAACACGACGGGAAAGAACTATGGAAGCGTCTGCAAGCTTCCATATGATTTCAGGAGATGGGTGTCCGCTCACCACTAGCTCAGAGAAGGAAGAGGATTCAGTAAAGTGTGAACTTCTGCTCTTGTCCGTAAACAGAGCACAGGGTGGGCTGTGGTGGGGCCTGGAGTCTCCTGGGTGCTGAACACCTCGGCCCCCAGGTACAGGCGACTCTACTAACCCAATGACGCCATCTCTTCCCACCACACCCTTCCAAAGGGAAATCGGGCAGAGAGAGGAGCTGAGGCAAGAAGACAGAGAGGCAGGTCTCGACACCATTTGCAAGTAATGGATTTACAGAGAACGACTTTTGCCCGAAGAGGAGGTCAGGGCAGTGTCGGGCACAGATTCCAGGCAGGCATCTGTCAGAACAACGACCCAAGGTCCTCCACAGCCATCCACAGACCACCTTGGAACTGCACAAATATGTCACCAAGGCAAGGTTGGAAAAAGGTCTCTGAAAGCTGCTGGCACAGTGGGTGGCCGGCCTGGATGTCTGGGGTGACCGCTGGTGCTGGAGCTTCAGATGATACCTCGAGGACTTCAAAAGGAAGTAAGACAGGTGGGTGTTGTGAGTACAGGAGGCTTGAGACTCCCAGGAGTGAGCACTCAGCTAGCAGAAAGCAAGGGAGAACACCACAGACCCTGTGGCCCAATCCCCACTACAGGAGGCTTTCCGTTAGATCGACATCCAGACAGACCTCGACTATCACTCGGCCGGGTGGGTCACAGATGCCCGGGGTGGGGCTGCATCCCTTCTGAGCTGACTTAGTGTGATCTTCACTGCAGCAGGACACACATATTCAGAAAAAATGAGGAAGAGATGACACCCAGGTTGGGTCTGGTATACGAGTGGCCAAGGCACTTGACCATTCGGACTGAGTTCATAACACTTGGGACCGAGGGGCAAAGGTACCCCACAGAAACCAGAGCAACCCAGACGTGGACAAGGGGAAAACTCACAAGCTTTCATAGGCGTGGACAGGGATCAGGTAACCTGAGGCAACTAGACACTGTCCACGCCTTCCGTGTGTCTGTCAGTGCTTTTTAAAATAGATGCGCGTTGTCCAGTTTCTAGGAAAATTGGCTGCATTATTGCTTTGTCACCCTCTAAAGCAGACGTGAAAATGGCGGGACACAGGCCACTTGTGCACACAGCCCCACGGGCAGGGTCAGTGCATGGACAACGGGGAGGGGGGACTGTGTGCATATAAACATCAATGGATCTAAGTGGGTAAGGAAGAGCCTGTCCCAAAAAAAAAAAAAAAAAAAAAAAAAAATCAAAACCAGGAGACACCAGTGTAATTTTGGACAGTGACCCTTGCCATCTGAGAGTCATTCAAGCTTGCTTGTCCAAGTCCTTCCAGAAGGGCTGCCTTGGGGGCTGAGGAAATCCTCCTGTGAGGTGTGTGCAGAGCAGGAAGGCCAACTGTCACACCAAAGGCCAATTCGCTCCTGCAAGGAGCTCTAGAAGATCCTTCTGGAGACTGAGCGTGTCCCGGGGCAGGGTCCTCCTTCCTGTGGGGACCCAGATGATGCTCAGCACTGTGTCTTCGGGGCAGAAAGGCCCAGGCACATGAGCTTGGCCGGGAAGGAGCGAGCGGGTGGCTTGGCCTCCGGTTCTGACGTCTGGCGGTTAAGGCTTGAGTTTATGGGTGTAGTGATAGCCCATCTGGAGAGAAATGACAGTTCCTGGTTAGCAGCATTTACCACACTTCCCGCCATCAGGCCTTCCATCCTCTGCTGGGGCTCAGGTCTACCCGGACGGTAAAGGAGGCCCTGGGTCCCATCCCCAGAGTGTCACCACTCCCAGGAAGGGGTTGGAGGGAGCTGGGGACTGGGCAAAGTGAGCAATGGGGCAGGCATTGTGACCAGCTGCAGTGAGCCAGTTTCCTCCAGCAGATGATGGAGGGTGTGTCACAGATTTCAAAATCGCTACAGAGGGCTCAGGGGGTAAAGAGGTTTGCTGTGCAAGCCTGAAGACCCGAATTCAACCCCTGGGTCCCACATGTATGTGGAGGGAGAGAACTGACTCCACAGAGTTGTGCTGGGCACTGCCACTGTGACGCGTGAGCTCCCGTGCACCGTGCGCTTATGCAGGAACAAAACAAATACGACTTAAGTGCACAGGAGGCGTGAGAGGGCTCTACCACAGACATTTCACACCCAGCACCTCGGGGCCCTCACATCTTGGCGCCAGTGGATCTCCGAGTGGATCTCAGGTGGATAGACACCGAGGGGCCGACTATACGCAGTCTCAAACTAAAGTACACAGTTTGTACACCAAGACTTCACAGTGCAAAACTTGGAACCATCTCTGGCTAAGCTGGCCTTTGATGTCACCACCTTTCCCAAGGGCTTTGAGGGCAGCAGGAAGGTCAAGGTCACGAGGTCAGAGCACCGGTTACCTGACATATTTCACCAGGCTCTTCAAAGGAATCCAGAATGCTTGTCTTTGTGTGACCACCTCCCTCCTGAGGTCCCCAGAGCCCCGGGGCCTCAGTGTCACACCTGAGCCCCGTCCCAGGGTCCTACCTGGTCAAGCTTGATTGTCATACAGGCTCTGCCTCTTCCTGGATTTCAGCTCCTTTAGCCACTGGGGTGAGGGCTCCTCCGACCTGAAACCACAGCGTGAGTCAAGTGAGAATCACACCCTGGCTCCTCTTTTGAGGGCAACTCAGCCCCCAGCCCTTCGCCCACCATGCTGACATTTGGTCAGATACTGTTCTAGATATTTCTGTGAATGTTTCAGATGAGATCTATGCAGACCTATGCAGAGTCCAAGTCAGGCAGATCACGGCTCACACTATACACGGGCAGATCACTGCTCACACTATACACAGGCAGATCACTGCTCACACTATACACGGGCAGATCACTGTTCACACTATACATGGCACATCACGGCTCACACTATACATGGCACATCATGGCTCACACTATACACAGGCAGATCACTGTTCACACTATACACGGCACATCACGGCTCACACTATACACGGCACATCACGGCTCACACTATACATGGCACATCACGGCTCACACTATACACGGCTCACTTGGAAACATCTGACCCCAGTGAAGTGTTCCTGCCCTCACCTCTCATCTTTGTCTATGCTGGAAGGCAGCACCCGACTGCCCAGCACCCCAGGCTGGAAGGGAGACTTAGGGGTCTTGGGCTGAGGTGCCCAGCTGAAGGACTCGCCAGGACTGTCCACTTCCGGCCTCTTGTGCAGCTGAGCCTGGGGAGAGAGAGGAGGGCCCAGTGTAGCTGTCTTCTGTCTGGGGGCTCTAGCAGTGCTACCATGGCAACGCCTCATGCAGCACTGGGAAGCCTGAGCGAGAGGGTGACCCAGGCAGGAAGCAAGGGGACCAAGAAGAGGTCGACAGCCTGGAAACAGTAGAGGCTCCAGAAAAGTCACTCCTGCATGTACAGACGTGAAGCCTGCGACGCTGGCGTCCCACAAGCACGCAGCAGGGATTACTGTCCCCTGAGTTTGGGGGACAGGCTGGGAAGGGGTGACATAAGACAGTGAGAATGGGCTTCCTCTGGGAGAAGCTAGGCAGCGTCACATGCCTGTCATTCCAGCATTCAGACGGCAGATGGAGGCACAAGGATGCTAAACGGATGGGCAATGGAAGGGAAGGGTGGAGGCTGGCTAAATGATGGTGGATAGACAGGAAGGGAGGGAGGGAGGGAGGGGGCAGAGGGTGCCAGCATTCACTCAGCAGGCTGCTCTGGTACCTTCAGCACGGCTGGGTCCATGCCTGGGAACACGGGCATCCTCTGTGGATGGCTGACAGGGGTCCTCTCTACCTTGGGCGGCTCTTCATCCGACTCCTCTCTCCTGGGCGATTTCTCTTCTGTTAAGAGAAGGACTCTGAGCCATTGGTGGTCCCTCACACCCCTGCACGGTGACCAGGGCACTCCTGGTCCATTTGTGCTGGGGCGGGAGCTCCCACTCTTTTCTGCAGAGGCTGCCACCTGCTGAAACAGTGGCCACAAGCAGATCGCCTCCTCCCGGGGAGGGCATAGGCAGACCCTCCAGCTGCTGCCACTTTGGAGGAACAGGACATCCTTTACAGAGGCAGAACAAGTGGCAGAGATATGTTCCACCAACAGGGGGCAACGTGGAATGCTCCAGGGTCTCCTCAAGGCACTGCTCCGGTCAGGGGCTGGGCCAGCCAGGGAGGTGCTAGAGTGACGGGTAAGGGGTTTCCTGCTTCCTAAGAACCGGTCATTGGTGGGGCACAGCATGTCCTCTGGAGTCCCAGGCTCAGCTGGACACTGGGCATGCTCAGAAAGGTCAGCCCCACCCAGCCTTTCATAGTTCCTGTCCATGAGTTCGGGGCTATGGAAGCCCCAGGTTGTGCGGCCAGGTCCCTTGAGGGAATCTGTGGCCTTCTGTCCCTGTGGCGGGCTGCATTTGCTCCTGGTGGCTTGGCATAGTTCTGGCCCTGCAGACACATACTCACCTATGTACTATTGCTTGACTCAGTGTACACGTGTGTGTATTCACATGTATGTAAGTGTGGGGGGGCATGGTGTGTGCTCATGCATATGGAAGATAGAAATTGATGGCGGGCATCTGCATGAATCTCTCCTCGCTTTATCTTTTGAGACAGTCTCTCACTGCACCATTGCAGTTAGAGGAGCTGACCAGCAAGCAACCCTCAAGAATCCTTTGCCTCCACTTACGCAGGGCTGGGTTACAGGAGTACAAGGGCGCTGGGGATTTGACCTCGGGTCTTGACACCTGTGAAACAGGCACTTCACACACCTCCCAGCCCTCGCCAGACACTTGACCTTCATTCACTAGCACAGCTGGACCATGAGAGGCAATGAGACGAGCCCAAGCATTCCTTTAGGCATCTGGTCGGAGACCACACTGGGCCATGCTACTCACTGTCTGCCCTACTGACCAGGCTGGCCCTAAACTCAGGGAATCCCCCAGCCTCCGCCTCCCAAGTGCTGGGATTAAAGACGTGTGCCACCAGGCCTGGCTCTTCGTTTGGTTTTCTAGAGCGAGTCACATTATATAGTCACAGCTGGCCTGGAACTCACTCTGTACGACACCAGGCTGGCCTCGCACCGCGAAGATATCACCATTTCTCTTCCAGGACTGCTAGGGTTAACACACGGGCACCACCACACACGGGTTCAGGACACACTTAAAACCCCACTTACAGCAAGTTCTACCGAACAGGAAACCACAGCCTCCTGGGTCACTGCGTCCCACGTTCTAAACCCTCTAAGATCGGGCCACTCTTCCCAGGGTTTAACCTGAGGCTTTCCCACCCAGAGCAGTATGCAGGTCAAGTGGCGGGCATGGCATACGTGGACATACCTGTTGAGTCCTTGAACATCCATGTGCTGTGCGACTCCTCTTCCAAAGGGGACCAGCTCTCAGACTCGCTGAACTGGCTGCGGCGGAGACTGTGGGAGATGGGAGCCCGGCGGCGGCTTCGCTTACTCAGCTGAACCCGGGTCTTCAGGGCACTTGAGTCTAGGACTGAGGTTTGCTTTGGGGGTGGCGAGGAGGAGACAGGAAGGAAAGGAACTGTCAGTGGAAGGCACCCTCCGCGGACTGTGTGCAGCCTTGTTCATACACAAGGCGTCCTCAGGGGTGCACGGGCTGGCGTGTTGTGCATACGCTAATGGCACCCTCGAAGCTGTAAGCCTCAACTTCCCAATGGAAACCATGCAGGCAGAGCCTAAGAACAGCACTGGGCACACAGGACAAATGGCAAGACATCCCATCACACAAGCATGGGAGCAGGTATAGGCCAGGAGCTCAAGGCATGCCCGTTTTCTGTCTGCTCAATGAATAGCGGAGAGCATCTCTCTCTGTCTTTAGGACAACGATACTCATGGAGTCACCAAGCCGAGAGGCACTCACTGTGGCCCCCATGACAATCCAGAGCACAGGTGGACAGGTGGAAGGAGGTACCACCTACAGAGCATCAACTGGGGGTAGTTCCACATCCACGGGGCCACCCTGGGACATCTCTCTGACTAGCATCAAAACGGTCCCCCCACGGGACACCCAAGTCCTGGGGGCATCCCACATAGACCTCAATTCACCCCTATGTAGGGCCACCAGCCTATGGGCAGACTCAGCAGCCGTGTCAACCCGATTATCTAAAAGGCAGGCGGCAGATGCCACCCCTTGGTTATCAGTGTGGGCACGGGATGGAGCCAGCTACCAGGGACCCAGGGGCTCCTGACGCCGCCATTGTTGCTTTGGGTGGATTCTAAGAGGAAGTGCTCAGAGTTCCAAAGAGGAAGTCCACCGAGACACCTATGCCACGGGACACACATCTCATGCACACGTGAGCTGCAGCTAGGTTCCGCAGCAGTGAGACCCCAGTGCGTGGCTGCTGCGTGAATAACATGCCACGATGCCTGCTGGAACCCTAACACCAACCAGGGAGCTGGGCGCCATGCCTGTCCCTGGGAGGCTCCTCTCGGGTCTTTTTGCCTCTTATCTAGAGGTGCCAGAGGAAAGACCTTGGCCCTGTGTAGACTGTCTGTCCCTTGGGGGGCCCATTAGAAGCCCCTCAGGGGCATTTGGTCAGGGGCTTGGCCATCAGGAGTGAGGGACCCTTGGAGGCTCCGGCTTCTGCGGCAAGACGGAGTCCAGTTCTGCTCCTAAAGGGCCTCCAGCGGGACACGGTGGCTCGGGATAGTGGACACCCCAGGGGTGACTGTGTGTGGAACCTAGGCAAGCTTAGTTCTGGGGAGCCCCAGAGGGGGAGGAGTGCCTGGGACAGCTCTCACAGAGAGCCCTTCACGCCTGGTGCCCATGTTCTGCTGAGCGAGGACTTGGAGAGGCTATCCCCTGTGTTTGCTCTAGGCAGACCCCGGGCTGAACACAGCCAGGAACTGCCAGCCACAGGCAGGCCTGGGAGCCCTCACGGCAAGCAAGTTGGGCCTTGGACTCCTGTGATCACCTTTAGTGCAGTGGAGATGAATGGGCTAGTTACTAGTGAGTAAGGAAGTTGGGGATCAGAGAGGTGAGGACATCTGCCCCAAGACACACAGCTAGTACAGGGCAGTCCTATGCAAAAGCAGCGTCCATGTCTAAGGCTGTGTCCCGTGCCCACCAACAGTGGCTGTTTCCACCTCTCCCGGTCTTGGGCTTACATGGATGAAGGAAAAGTCGTCTTCTCTCTCTGCCGGGCAAACGTCTGATGGAGGTGGCCCTTCGGGGCCTTCTGTGGACTCCAGCTCGGAACTGGAGCGGTCCACGCTGGAGCTGCGCCGGTCCCTGGAGCTGTCATGCTGATCCACGGATGTGGACTCCGTGTATGAGGACAAGTGGCTGCTTGGTGCCTGCTTCCCGGCAGAAGCAGCACTACTGTCGGGAGACGATGGGGACTCGGGGCCAAAGCTGCAAGGAAAGGCAGAAGGTGACAGCTTTCACAGAGGGGCCTAGACTCTCCGTCCCAAACATGGGGGCCGTGGACCTGTGGCCCAGAGTGTTCAAGCTCAGGGGACAGGCGGCAGGGGCCTTCCTCCTCTTCCTCCTGGCAACAGCAGTCTGCTGCCCATGGGACACCTTACAGCTGGCAAAGGAGAGCCAAGACCAAACCGGGGCGATGGCGGTACACCTGGGCTCTCCGCAGGAGACAGGAGCAGGAGGGTCAGGGGTTAGAGGCCAACCCGGGCTACATGGCAACAACTGTGCCCAGAAGCCAGAGAAAAAGAAATAAAATAGAAACGGGAGACGCGTAGTGAACCCCCAAGGCTCTGGTGAGAAGACCCAGGTCCCTCCACGTGCTGGCATTTGTCAGTCCACGGCTAACACCGACCATGGAGACCTTGCTAAACACAAAACGCGCTGGACCCGCATCTGCGTACTCCCTTGGGGGCCGGCCTGCCCGCACCTGAAATCACTTGGGCAGCTCGTGCTGCATTTCCCGAACCACCAGCAGAGAAAACGGGTCTGGACGCCAGCTTCAACCAGCAGCTGCCTCCGCCGTTCACTCACACTCACACACTCACTCACACACTCACTCCTCATTCACACTCACTCCTCACTCACTTACACACTCACACACTCACACTCACACACTCACTCACACACTCACTCCTCACTCACTCACACACTCACTCCTCACTCACACTCACACACTCACTCACACACTCACTCCTCACTCACACTCACACACTCACTCCTCACTCACACTCACACACTCACTCACACACTCACTCCTCACTCACACACACTCACACACTCACTCCTCACTCACTCACACACTCACTCACACACTCACTCCTCACTCACACTCACTCCTCACTCACTCACACACTCACTCACACACTCACTCACACACTCACTCGTTCACTCACACTCACACTCACTCCTCACTCACTCACACTCACTTGTTCACTCGCACTCACTCAGGTACTCACTTACACACTCAATCACACTCATTCATTCATTTACACTCACACTCACTCACACACTCACTCGTTCACTCACACTCACTCCTCACTCACTCAGGGGTCAGGGTCAGGGTCAGGGGTCAGGGTCAGGGTCAGGAGCCCCAGCATCTTATCACCTGTTTCCCAGCTCCTAGGAGCTTTCACAGTTGGGGTGTGATGGTTTTAATAACAAAGGCTGAGGGAGCAGCCACACACACACACACACGCGTGCGCACACACGCACACACACACACACCCGGCAGCAAGGGGCACCACTGTCCAAGGCAAGAGAGCCTGGCCCCGGAGGCTGCAGTTCCTCTGGAGGACAGCAGGGGGCTCACAGCATCGGAAGCACCAGGTCTTAGAGGCCTTGAGACAGACAGAAAGAAGCTGGGGGCCTGGGGCACACCATGGGGCCCAGGGTCCTTAGGGGACAGGAACAAGTTCCAGCACAGGTCAGCAGACATTGGGTGATCCTACAGGGACACTTAGAAACGCCCGAGGAGGCTAAGCGCATGCTGAAGTCACAGATTAGCAGAGGGGCAGTTAGAGACGGGAGAGTCTGTCTGGTTGGTTCTATTCCCTCTCATCCAGTTTTAATCTGGCTTTAACTCAGGGCAGCTCAGGCAGTGTGACCCAGAGGGGCGGTCAGAGCCCCGTGGTGGGAGAGACAGGGGGACAGGGGTTGGGGGGAGTGGGGGTGGGTGGGTGTGGCTCAAGCCCAGCTCAGCCACTGACTGATACATGATGTTTACTCAGGTCCCTGCCTCTCTCTGAGCCTCAGTTTCCCAGACGTGAGTGGTGTCCACAGACCACAGGGCTGCTCCGTCAGGCAGGAACTGAGCCTGCAGCAGATTCCAGAACATCGACCCTCTCTATGGAGGAGGAAGGTGCCCATGGGGAGACCCACCTCATCCAACCTGCTCCTCAGCCAGGGAAGGGTGGGTTCACAGCTGCCTCCCTCCCTTCAGCGGTTTGCCCCAGGGGCTCCCTCCCAGCCAGGCAGAAGGGTCCTGCAGGCGTGCACTTCGTATGGAGCAGTTCCTGGAGCGTGTACCGGCAGGTACAAACACACACACACAGATACCAAAAGCACTAAGAGAGGCAGAAGAACTCACTCTGTGCAAGGGCCAAGCGGGTCTTTGGTTTTGCGCTTGGGCAGTAGCTGTTGGCTCCTGTTGTGCATGTTTGTTTCCTGGGCTCAGAACCCAGGGCTGCGGTCTATCAGTCCTCAGCATGTTCTCATAGTGGAAAAACACACAGGGCACAAAGCTAACCCCGAGTGACACACGCTACACTCCAAGGCTATGCAGCCGCCCCGTGTCCCACAGTGGGAGACCGGGCTTTGACAGTGAGCTATGACACTGTCCTCTGCAAATGTTTTCAGACCGGCCTGTGGAGTTGTGGTTTGACGTGCTTGAGAATACTGTGGGTACCCAGACCATGCCCTGTGCTGCTGGCCTGCGGTATGTCGGTCGCTCGGTCTGCCTTGTTAGCTCAGTCTGTCCCTGTGTGTCACAGCACGGATGTCTGTCCCCTGTGGGTCTCTGAGGCTGAGGGTCTGCCTGTCCCTGTATGCTCCTGGCTCTGTCCAGGCTACTTGCTTCGTGTCAACAATTTATCTCCACATGTCTGTGGCTTTTCTAATGCCCTTTATGTGACAATGGCTTCTTCTTGTTACAACTTCTGAAAATACAGAAATTTCTGAGTCAGCCATAGATCCTGTGCTGAATAGTGTTATGCCAGTTTGACACAAACTAGAGTCAGCTAAGGGGGGGGGGGGGTCTCAATTGAGAAAAAGTCTCCATAAGATCAGGAGATAGGCAAAAGCCCTACCTACCCAAGGG